TGTTGAAAGCCATCCAGCATCCATCACCAAACGAGAGGTCTAACCCTCAGCAAGGTGGGGGAAAGGTTGCTTTTCCAATATACTTTTTATATATTGAGGTCAGTGGGCAGTGCTTTAAAAGAGTCAGGTGAGACTCACTGTGATTCAAGCGGATTAAGGGTCTGATCCATTGACAGGTATATTGCGTGCATCCACTTTCTCACAGTAAATTATTTTTAAGAAGTTACGCAGCAAAGTTTTCTCATTGCCCTCTATACATCACCCAAATTTAATGTTAAAAACCAAATTCTCTGCATCATTTGAAAGCAACCTGGACTGGCAACTTGCAAACTCAAAGCAACATAAAGCATTTCAGGGCTTTCCAGTTTCTCGTGTGGCTCTCCAGAAACCACGCCCAGCTCCAAGCAGCCTGGCTACAGGTCCTTCAATATCTTCCCATTCAAATTTGTCTTTCCGAATGGCAATCACAGACTGACTGGAGCATACACCTACGTATGGAGCCGTTTAATATTGCACAGAGGATACAGAGGAGGATACAGCAATCGGAGTTATAAAGTATGTGTGTAAGCATGAAAAGATAGAAATCATAGAATCATGGAATCACTTTGGTTGGAAAAGACCTTTAAGATCATCGAGTCCAACCTTTAACTAACCCTGCCATCCCACCACTAAACCATGTCCCTAAGCACCTCATCTGTCCTTCTTTTAAATACCTCCAGGGATGAGGATTTGATCACCTCCCTGGGCACCCATTCCAGTGCCTGACAGCCCTTTTGGTGAAGAAGTTTTTCCTAATGTCTACTCTAAACCTGCCCTGGCATCACTCAGTAAGGAGAGTCACACCTAACTTGCTCATATGCTTTCAGAAACCTGAGAGGATTACATTTTTCAAAGCACTTGATCAGCCTCATGGTTATATTTGAGTCCTTGCAGGTGCCAGCAACGGCATTACAGGTCCTGTACAGCCAAGACTAGAGAAAATCCCCACACCTGAGAGACACATGCCACAACCTGAGGGCACTGTGTTTACTTGCATAATTGAAGATATAATATATGCACAAAATGCTTTCAATTTCCCAGAAACTTAATGCATTTTAAGATCTGGACTAAACCCTGGATACAAAGCCAACTTCGTTGATGACTCGGTCACTCTGGGAGAATGAACATCAGCTCAGGGCAATGCCACACGGGGATCCCCCCTGGCACTACACCTATTTCATGTCTGCCCAGGGTGGTCTCTGGCAGGCAGTGTTTCCCCACGGTTCCGACCTTTTAAGCATAGAAATGGAGCCAAGAAACCCTTAGTGCCCAGGTGAAATGCTTCCTGCCTAGCGGTTGTCTCTCCATGAGAAGGCAGAAGCTTGAGGCTCCGCTCTAATGCAACCAACATTACCTGACCCACAGCTCCTGTGATGCAGGGATCTGGCACACATTAACCAGCGTGTGTCCCTAACAGGGTGCGAGGATAAAAGCTGAAGCCAAACAGATGGTCCTCTAAAAATCTTCCCTAAAGTGTTCTGTGTACTAAAACATCACTTACCCAACTTTCATCAAACTTGGCTTGATTTGCAAGTCTCAAGCCAAGTTTGAAGAAAAATATTCAGCTGGAAACATGGGGGGAAAGGAGTCTTTTTCCTGTGCTCAAAGAATATGAAAATGAAACAATTTTGTCCAAACCTTAGAAAAATTTAAGAAAAATAGAACCCAACTCTCTTGGGTTTAAACCAAGCACTGGGCGGGGGGGGGGAACAAACAACACGGAATGCAAAGTGATGAACAAATGAAAGAGAGAAGTGGAAAGAGAAGTGGAGCTATAACGTATAATGACCTATCAACACCTTCCATAACGCACACAAAATTTCCACGAAGACGGAAATCACATCTGCATGGAATATGGGCAGCTATTGTTTGAAAGCACAGAGCAACGTTGCACAACACTTCAGGGTCCTGATTTCGCTGCCACACGCCCACTTATAGAGATACTCATCGGTCGTCCTGACTAGCAACAACTGGATACTCAAAATAGCAGCCACTAATTTTAGCAGCATGTTCAGGATTAGCAACGGAATATTATATCCGGTTAATAAAAGAATTTAACCGGGCACCATTAAAATATTCCAACTGAAAATGATCTAAATTTTCTGAGTTCAACAAAAAATGCTAGGAGAAATGTTGACAACCACTAGCTAGATGAACAGCTTCATACAGCTGCAAAAACATACATGCATTTCCATAGTAACTGCTCTTAACTATACATATTTTATTTTGTAAGTGTGCTTCACTATATAAAGTGTTTGCATGAGCATATGCATCCTTTTAAACAGGAAAGAAGCAATAGCATTTCTGAAATAATGCTACTGCAATGAGATCCTGGCCTTGGTCTCTTGTAACTTCAGCTTGGGGTGGGGTGGGCAGGGAGAAAAATCGATCTGTGCAGTAAATGATAGGTTCACTCCAGAAGCAAAACCTGACATTTATACTTAGGGAAACCCAAATTCTTTAAACATAATTTGATTACGTGTCTGATTTTAAAATTGGATTTTTCCTACCATTAATTTGAACCATCATTCTTGGGAAGTACCTAAATCATTGTACGTCCTTGGGAAAGTACACCCTAACTGTATTAAGCTAAAATCAGGTTATAGCTAAGTAACTTTTAAATTTTTTTCTTCTCAGTTAATGTAATTTTATTGCTGCTGGCAAGCAGGTCTGTGTGTTTGTGCGATTAGACATTGCAACTAGCTTCAGCTTTTTTGCTTCTGCTCTGCACGGTGTACGGCATGGACGGCCCTCGACGAGAAAGTCATTAGCTTAATAACAATCCCTGACAGATTCTGAATGAGATATTCCAACAGATATTGCAGTCACTCCTGGGGCAAATAAAAGGACAGTTTTATCTTCAGGATGGGGAAGAAAGAGTATGCTACACTAAATGCCTGGTGTGGTTTCTCGGGGACTAATTGTTAAGCAGGAGTATTTACGATCAAAGGATGGGAGAATGGGGCTATCATTGCGAGGCAATTATCTATACACAAATAACTTTAATACTTTGGCATTTTTATAACCACCACAGTATTTATTTTACTATATATTCTATTGCAGCACCATTCCCCTGCTTCCAAGTACGCAGCACTTCATGCTTTTTTTTTTTACTTCACATAAAATTAAAATAAAATGGAGGAACGCTTTGAAAGGAGTTGAAGAACAATAGGTCCTATTTAACCATCAAATACAACTGTACTTAAGTTCTTGTGTTTTTGATCAATATTTATGTGACAAGCTGTTCATTACTCTTCCCCTCTACCAGTTTAATGTTGTTGTTCTTCCCACAGCCCGATCTGCACTTTTGTGTATTTAATTTATAACAGTTTCCATGGAAAAGAAGTATTCAAAGAAAAAAAAGTGCTGATACAGCACGTGGAGCTCTCTACCAAACCACAAATCTTTTCTAATGTTCATATTAAACTGAAAGCAATTCTGGGAAACAAATTAATGATATAAATCACATTATCATTACTCACATAAAGATACTTTGTTGTAATTCTTTCAGAAAGCTACAGTGAGTAGCTAAAAGAACTCTATATGGAGAACGCCTGTTTCTAATTAAATGCTCTAAAAATAGAGTTGCACATACATCTAGGACCAAGCCATCTGTGTTATCTCTCGAAGATAAGCCCTAATACACCCAGCAATGATACCCCTTTCATCGCTGCAGATAGTCAAAACTAGGACTGGCCCTTCATTCCCATTTAGGAAGGGAAAAAGAAAAAAGAAGCAACATTTTAATCCAGACAAGATTTCTGGAAAGTCACGTCCCTTGTTTCGAAGTCTCTTTTCACACCAACTTCCGTCAATCAGCAGCATGGTTCAAAATCATCTCCCGCAAACGGTGGCAGCAGCCAAGTAGGATTTCTCCATGAAACACTTTCCCAATGCCAAGCGAGCTGTTTGTAACCGGCAGCCTGGGCTGTTTGCGGCGTTTGTGTACGATGGTTTTTGCTTGGGTTTTTTCTTTTTTCTTTTTTTTTTTTTTTTTTGTTGTTCAGTTTTGTTTTGGTTTTTTTTCAACTTTTTAAAGAATTTGATGTTTTTTTCTCCTCATTCTGACAATTAAAAGAACAGTGTAAAAAGTAAGCTGGGACAAAACTGGACCTGAGTTAAAAAGTTTGGATGAGAGAGTCCCATGACATCTTTAGTGATAATAAAACCCAACAGCAACCTGTCTTCATACTTCACGCAGGAGACCAAGGAGACAGAAAACAGCCCTTTTCTCCTAACAACAGCTACAATATTATCAGCCAATATCTGAGGGGAAAAAAAAGGAGGAAAGCTTATCTGGGCCTGTCAAGAGGGAGAAACAAACCCTGCTAGGTCAGAGCCAGCGACAGATTGTCCCCTTGGAGGCAAAGGGAGAGCAGAGCGTCACGGGAGCCTTGGCCCCGAGTCCCCCCGCCATACATGGAACGGCATTTGGGGGCCGTCTCCCAGGACGGGCTCCAGGTAATGCCTCAGGCTGTGGTCAACAAAGCAACAGGATTTACACCTTTCCTTAAAGTTCTTGCTGTCAGACTGTATTTAATCAAACAAACGTGGTTTTGTTGTATTTGCCCCCCCAGTTTTGGGGCTGGTTTGCTGTTGTGTGATATAATCGCAAGCAATGTATGTTAACCTCTCCAAAAAACCTGTTTCACTTCAAGCTCCCAATTCTGCCATCAGAAATAAGAATGCCACTTTACAATAAAAAAAGTATTAATGTCAACCAGAGACCTTATCCATTTTTAAATTAGGTAAGCAACAACTTTAGACAGTACACTCTCTACAAAAATGCCAAAAAATACACTTGTAACAGATAAGTAACAACTTTAGACTGTACACTCTCTACAAAAATGCAAAAAATACACTTATAACAGATACGATGAAAAAAGTGCATTTACCTTCCCCTACAGCCTTCCCATTGTTATACGTCTGACAGTAAAATAACAGGCAAAATGAAGACTAACCTTTGAATAAATGCCATTTACTGGTCTCCACTGTTCTCCATTCAAAAGGAAGGGAACTGTTATCTCATAATCTTTTGAGTGGTCCTTTGGCATCTGCTGTCTGGAGGACTCCAATTTGCTGTCCACATTCTCACCTAGGGACAGGGAGAAGCACTTCACGTGAGTCTGGAACATCATCTGACAACATGAACCTTGTTATTTAAGGGACCTGGCAGCATAACTCAGAAGGAAATAATTCAGGAAAAGAATTAAACATGAAAACATTGTGGAGTCATACTGTCAAGTGTCGAAACCTACACAAATTTCTAAGGGAGCCGGGGTTCTGGGAGAGAAGCATCGAGGTGATTTCCACTGTCAATTAGATGGTGCATTTCTGTAACAGCAGCAGACAAACACTGCACATAAGGAGCAGAGATACCAGGATGCACAGATAAGAAGTTGGGATGCAAGACTTAAATAAAAATAATTTGGAGAGGTATTGGCACCGCTATTTAAAGTGTTACGTTAAAAATTATTCTAGAGTCTGTCCACTGCAGATGACAGCGGGGGGAACGCAGTCAGTGGCTGTCTTTTCAGTGTCATCATTAAGAGGGTAAGCAAGCTGTAGGGATTTAGAAGAGATAAAATCTTATCAGGACTATTTTTCCATAATTAAGGTAAGGAATTAGCCTTGATCATTCCACTCCCCAATTCCTCCTGGAATCATAGAATCGTTTAGGTTGGAAAAGCCCTTCAAGATCATCAAGCCCAACCGTTCCCCTACCTCTGCCATCCCACCGCCAACCTCACCCTGCCCTGGCACAACTTGAGGCCGGTGCCCCTCGTCCCATCGCCCCTTCCCTGGGAGCAGAGCCCGACCCCCCCGGCTCCCCCCTCCTCTCAGGCAGTTGTAGGGAGCGATGAGGGCTCCCCTCAGCCTCCTCTGCTCCAGGCTGAACCCCCCCAGCTCCCCCAGCCGCTCCCCAGCAGCCTGGGGCTCCAGATCCCTCCCCAGCTCCGCTGCCCTTCTCTGGACACGCTCCAGCAACGCAACGTCTTTCCTGTAGTGAGGGGCCCAAAAGTGAATGCAGTATTCCCTCTTCCCAGATACAGTCACACTGGATCAGGTACAAATCAGGGGTGGTAGGAGGGGGAACAGTGCCCCGGGGGTGTAACTGGAGCCCTACCCTCCCTGGGGTGAACCAACCATACGGTTGCATGACACAGGCTCCCTAAGGGCAGGCAATGACCCCAGATTTTTCCCTTATGTCCTTCCCATTTCTGCGGTGGGGTCGGCTGTTCCTCACGCTATGTGAGTTGGGAGTTACAGCACAGATGCAATAACCCAGTTTGGGGTTCCTGAAAGCTCCAGGTTTATTGTACACAGCAAATTCATCGGGTTTCAACCTCGGTATTTTATAATCCTCGGTATTTTATTATCTCCCACACTCTTCTTAATGCACCATCTTACTCCGCTAAACAAGGAAATGTGCAGTTGTCCTCTGTTTTAACAGGTCTGAACTGTGTACAACAAAAGAGTGAATATTTACTTAGCAGCCTCAGCATTGCTATATGAACATGCAAGGAGGTGATGAAGAACTGAGAACCCCCGAACATCAAGGATAAACATTATCATTAGTGGGGAAAAAAAACCCAAAACAGTCTGGAAGAGAATATAAACTCTCATTGAAACACTGCTCTACTCCTACGCAGTCGGATGACTTCAATTCATACTACGGTGTCAAAAAGCTCTTTGCATGTAACATTTATCAAGCGTTTTTCCTCTCACTAAACATACTAATGGTATCACACCTGTCAAAGCACTGTCCTAAAAAACAGTATCATAGTACAAGAGCTGGAAATGGTAATGAGAATAAATCTGAAGGAGAAGATAGGGACGGCTTCCAGATGCCGTGGGACAGTCAAAATGCTGCCGGGGGTTTGCCAAACTCTTGACCGACCATCATGCAAACTCTCTGGTGCACTTGGACCCCAATGAGGATGTGACCTGAGTCTTCGTAGGCACTCTAGAAATGTGTCCGTCCTCCCCTAAGATGGAGAAGGGCCAGTGTTACCTGCCTCCCTCCTTCCCCCTGTTGCCGTTGTGCTAGGAGGTGCCAAGGGATGGTGATGGGGCAGCGTTTTAGCATCTCAACCACGGCGCGGGGCTGAACCATGTGATGGGAGTGAGAAGGGAGCTGTGGGGTCAGACCTGCCCACACAGCCCAGTGCTCACCACTGCCATCCCAGCAACCCGACCTGCCCTCCCTGGTCACCTAACACTCTCGGAGGATCAAGAGCTATGTTTTGGGCAGAATGAGCCCAATTTAGTCACTGTTAGAATTAGCTTAAAAACATCTACACAGTCATTAGTGTTACGCTGAAGTGAGAGGAAAACAAGTTCTGTATTTTCCAGCATGCTTTTAAAAATATGACACTTCCACCCCACCCTCCCCACCACCCCCCCCAAAAAAAGCAACAAAACAACACACTAAGATAAAATAATCAAGTATATTGGGGAGAGGAAAGTTGCTCGTTATATGGGTATTCCTGTAGAGAAAGGGTTCTCTCCCCACCCTCAGCACAGCCCGAGCCCAAGTGGCAAGGGTCTGGGAGCGTAATCCCTTGGAAGGGATGCTCCAAACCGTGCAGATGATTGGGCTCACCCCTGGGGAGGCACATGAGATACCACATCATCCACCTTAGGAGGGCCTAGACAGACCCTCGCAGCTCTTTATTCTGATTATCAGGCATGAAGCTCCCTGCACAGAACAGAAATTTATGAAGCACATCTCAGAGAAATGAGAAAAGTTTGGTGCCCTGATTTTTTTTTTTTTTATTGGCTCACCAGAGCAGCCTCAACTCTCTGAATTACATGACTCAGGCCCTTTATTATTTTGTAGGATTTGCACTCTGAAAGTTTCATGAAATCTAAATTTTAAGGAACCCTATGAGCATATTTTTCCTCCCACGGATGCGCTGTCTACATTGCTTCCACGCACTCTTATATCATGGAGCTGCAGCTAGGTATCAGGGAGCATCAAAATCCTTCTAGTACTCCTACATTGCAAGTTGCCTTTCTTATTAATTCTGCAAAGCATCAACACCACAACATTACCCGAAAGAGAAGAAAAAAAAAGAGAGGGGGAGGGATCAGCATTTGTGCACAGATGTATTATTCCCTCATTATGCGGTATGGTCCAGAAAGTGCAACCACTATAAAAATATAAGGGGAAAAGGGAACAATATCTATACAATTTTGCCACTCCTATTCTACCATGACAAAGCGATGCTTGTGGTGCATAACAAAGTAAGGTTACAGTGAGCGAATTTAATCATACGCACATGCTTATTTAGCTGCACATTGAAAATGCATATCGTGGTGAAGTGTTGATAGTCTGGAGACAGACATCAAGACAGGTTTATAGGCAACAGTTATATCTTTATTGGAAAAGACAATTTATTCGGGGGAAACAAAACAGACAAGCTTTAGGGTTTGCAAACTCTTCTGAAGCCACAGCATTCATAAAACACAAGATCAATTTCTGTCTATAGTTGCTTTGCTTCAGCCAAATATTTTGCTGCTTATCTGAATGGTTTTATTTAAATTATTGGGTGTGATAAAAATCACAGCTTCCTGCAGAAGGCGGAGGAAGCACTACAGCCCAGCCACGGGGCCTCGCTCTGAAGAGCATGGGGGCACATGCTTCACATTATGCACTTGCTTAACTCCCAACCATCCTCAACAGGATACAAAAGAAACTGTGATATGTGTGTTTAAGTCAAAAAACAATGCTTTCCTCATTTAAAGTCATATTTACATGCTATATATATTTCTGAAGGACTACACAACAAAGAAACCTGTACAACCGACAGGTAAACTCTAGACCAGTCTTGAAACACAAAAGTAGGAGGAAGGTAAAAAGGTAGATCCTTTAAATAGGATTCTGCAGCCTGATTGCAAAGCTTCGGGAACACATTGCAGAACACAAGGGATCACAGCCAACAAAGAGCAACCCACACATCTGCGGTGGGGAAGGCAACAACATCGCAAGGGCCACTGAGCCCAACCGAACAACGGGATGCAGGCAGAAGAGATATGGGTAGAGGAAGACTCAAAGTCAGGAGGAAAAAAAAAAACCACACATAAAAAAACCATAAGAGGAGAGCCAGGCCAAAAAACCTGTAGGCATAGAAATTGAAGTGTGCAGGAAACTTTGGAAGAATGGGACAAACAGATGTGCAGCCCCAGAGCAGCGGCGCGGGCTTCTGAGTAGCTGCGCAGGTGGGACGGCTGCTGGCAACCTCGGGGAGCCTGCGGCATGCATGGCCCTCACCTCAAAGCTGGAAACACCAAAGAATTTGTCCCCATGAGGGATACGTCACCCAGGCTCTTGCATGATGGCTGAATAAAACGCAGTCCCAGTTTTCTTCTGTTGGTTTTGGGCCACCCACCTCCAAGTGTAAGCCCAGCCCTCCCAAAGAGCATCCGAGGCGCACCAGGAGAGGAACGTGATGGGACAGGGCTGGAGACCGGTGCTAACGAAGGGGTTTTGTCGCCTTGATCACGTCCCGTGAGCTCCCAGTGCTGCAGTTCTTCATGCACGCAGACGTGCTGGTATTTCCTCTCTGCCACTCTTCATCTCCTTTACCCATTTTCATTAGGATTTCTTTGAAGCTGGAACCATTAGAGTTGTTTGCATTACATTAATAATGAGGCCTCTTCTCTACAGGGACGTTTGGTATTACAGCAATATAAATAGCGTAATAATTGAAATCAGAGAATTTAAATTTCGGTAACGTGTCATGAGAGGGGAAGAAAATCAGGCCATCTGTATTACCAGAGACTTTTATTAGACCCAGGTTTCCTATCTTTTGTGTCACATGCACCTACTTACTCACCTACTTATTTTTCCATTTCAGTGAAATTCTGTCCAGTTCTTCCTGACGCAAGCTCATCTCCCACTTTTTCACATTAAAAACTTCACAGTCGCGTCTATCTGTTTTCTATTTTCAGCCTGCACTGAAGGTAACGCTTTTGATCCACAAGCAGCCCACAAGCTGATGTAGTGCCCTTTATTCTTTTTTTTTTTCCAGTTATATAAAAGATGCTTTGTACAAATAGTGAGATGAGTAGATGTTATCTGTCGGTGAC